ATAATGCCAAATGAATAACCTTGTACATGGGTCATTTCTTATTTAATCAACATATGTTTGTGAGATTAATGAGTCAAAGATAAATGTATATTAGGTCATCATTTTGAATTACTCGTTGCAGATATATAGAGAAATGATACTGATCATTTTTCAGTAAAATTTCTTGACTTTGGTATGATAGCATTTAGATCATCAGCAGTCATGGCAGTTTTTCGTTGTTTTCTAACCCTGATACAGTATTATATCTTCCTTTTTTTTCCCCTTGCTTTAATCTCTAAAACAATGTTGAATAGAAATGGTGAGAACTAGCATTCTAGAAGCCTTAGGCCTGACATTAAAGGCCATATAACATAATGATTAGGAGATGCATTGTGGAGCAAACTGCTTGATTCAATCCTAGTTTTCACTCTGTGATCTTTCTCAGGATGAGACCATGAGTAAGCCACTTATCCACTGTATTCTTCGTCTTTCTCTCTATAAGAGGGTAGTAATAATAGTACCCATCTCATAGAGTTACTATGAGGATTGAATGACTGTATATATGATACACATACTATATAAACACATATTAGGGCAGTACTTGGGAAATATTGAATATTATACAAATCCATATATTATTGTTATTATTATTGCTACTATTATAAAGTTTTTGGTAACTACCCTATGTCAGGTTATCAGATTGAACAACTTCCCTTTTATTATTAGTTTTCTAGAAGTATTTATTCATAAACAGGTGTTAGAATTGTATGAAATAGTTTTCTACATTTTTGAGATGATCATTTTTTTCCTGTTATCTGTTAAAATGGTGAATGATTTTAATTTAATACATCTTCCTAAGTTATTCCATTCTTGGATCATCCTGGGATTAACTCTACCGGTCACAGTTTATTTATTTTTTTAAATGTCAATAGATTAAATTTCCTAATACTTTATTTAGAATTATATTTTATTTAGAAATGTCTCATATACAGTTTTCTTTTTGGTCACCATAGTTGCTAGTCATAGCAACCTCATAATTTACATTGGAGCTTTCCTTCTATTTCTATTCTTTGGAACAAATTATATAAGATATGTATTGTCTGTTCTTTGAGAGTTTATGAAGATAACTTGTAAAACAGCATATACCTAAAGCTTTACTTGAGGTGTTTTTTTTTTTAATCAATTAGTGAATTAAATTTATTTACTGGTTACAGTATCTCAGGTATTCTATTTCTTCTTAAGGCAGAATTGGTAAATTATATATTTCTAGAAGATTGTTCAATTTGTCTGATTTTAAAGTAATTGGTGTAATGATTTTTTGGAGTCTCCATTGTAATTACAATTATATTCTCTTCTTTAACCACTGGATCCATGCATTTTATTTAGAATTTTCTTTGTCTGTTGGATTTAAATATTTACTAATTGCATTTATGACGTTTCTTTGACACATGAATTATTCGGAACGGTGTTTAAATTTTCCAAATGTTTCAGGGGGTTCCCCCAACATTCTTATATCGAAGCCCTAGGTGACTGTATTTGGAGTTGGGCCTCTGAAGAAGTCATTAGGTTAAATGAGGTCATGAAGATGAGGGCTAGTGTTTTTATAAGAAGAGACACCAGACAGTTTACAAAAAAGAGGTCATGTGAGCACTCAGTGGGATGGCGGCCACCCCCAAGCCAAGAGGTAAGGCCTCAGACTGGAACCTACCCTGCTGGCACCTTGATCTTGAATTTCCAGCCTCTAGAACTGTGAGAAATAAATTTCTGTTGTGTATCCTCCAAGTGTGTGGCTGTTTGCTATGGCAGCCCTCGCACACTAATACAAGCTCATTACATTTTTATTATTGATTTCTAAATGTATTCCATTATGATCAGAGAACCTGGCCCTATGTGGTAGCAGCCCTTTGTTGGGTATCACCCAGTTCATAGTCAGATTTTACAAATATTCCATGTATACTTGACATGAATTGAAAGTAATTCTTCTAATTGTTAGGTGCAGGGCTCTTTCTGTTGTCTGTTTTAGTTCGCTAGAGCTGCTAGTAAAAATACTAAAGGCTGAGTGGCTTATACAACCAACGTTTATTTTTCACAGTTCTGGAGTGTGGGAAGTCCTAAGATCAAGACACCAGCAGATTCAGTGTCTGGTGAGGACCCCTTCTTTGTCCACAGATGGCCATCTTCTCACTGTGTCCTCACGTGGTGGGAGAGGCAGGGAGCTCTCTGGGGTCTCTTTTATAAGCCCACTAATTGCATTCGTGCAGGCTCAGCCCTCATGACGTAATCACCCAAAGGCTCTCTCTCCAAATCTTACCACATTGGGGACTGGGTTTCAAAGTACGAATTTTGAAGGAATGTAAACATTCAAATCTATAGCAAAATCCATCGAATAAATCTAATTAATAGCATTATGCAAATATTCTATATGTTCACTAACTTTTTTTCTATTTGGCGTATCAAGTATTGATTGGGGTATTATAAAATCTCCCACTGCAATGGAGGATTTATCATTTTTTTCATCATAATTCTATCAGAGTTTGCTCTGTGTATTTTTGAGGGGCATACTAGTTTAGAAGTATTAAATCTTCCTAATGAATTATTCCTTTTATCATTAAGTAATGGTCCTCCTTATCACCAATAGTGAGCTTTACTTTAAAGTATGTTTTGTCTAATAGTAACATAATTATATCAGCTTTCTCTTGGTTTGAATTGGTCTATTTTTTCGTACTATTCCTTTTACTTTTCCATATTATTATTTTTTAAGCATCTCTTATAAATAGCACATAGGCAGACTTATTTGCATGTGTATGCATGTGTTATTTATCCGAGGGTCTTTCACCTGGAGTAATTAGTTCATTTACATTGATCGTGATTACTACTATGCCTGTAATTTCTATCATCTTACTTTGCGCTGTCATCTCTTCATACTTTTTCTTTGCTTTTTTATTTTGTTCCCATTTTCTCCTTTCTTTAGTGTTTTCTTTATTTCATTTTTTCCTCATAAGACAGACTATATTTCCCACCTACCTTGAAGATGTGGTCGTGTGACCCAGTTCTGCTCTGTAAGATGTGAGCTGAAGTTCCTTCACAGAGCTTTCTAGAAAGTGCCTTCAGACAGGGAAGCTTCCCCGCCCATTCTCGCTCCGCCCTTTTTCCTCCCTGGGCTACGGCTGTGGCCGTGATGTCCTGGAACAGGGACCGTCTTAGAGTGACCCTGAGGATGAGAGCCACATCCTAAGATGTAGAACAGAAGGATAAAAGGACCCTGGGACATAAATGACATGATGGAGCTCCTGCACCGGTCATCATGGCCTACCTCCAGAATCTAAGCGTGTGAGAAAAAAGAAAAGCCCCATTTGTTAAGCCACCTTAAGTTGAATTTTCCGGTTTTGTTTTTTGTTTTTTGTTTTTTGTTTTTTTTTTCCTCCATCTGTGAATCAATCTCTAGCCAATTACAGAGCAACTATTTTGGAAGTAATTCTTATATTTTTTTTCTCTCTTTTCCTTCCCCTTCTCCCTCTCTTCCTTCCTTCCTAGAATTAAAAAAAAAAAAAATTACATTGGTAATATGGGTTTGTTGTAGTGGTAAACAAAAACCTTCAGGGCTGAAAGCTTTTCTAAAAGAAAGGGTTTTTGGAGCCATATGACAGCCAGAAAAAGGACCAGGTCCTGGGGTGAGCCGTCTAAGCCACCAGCCACAGGGATTGTCCCCAGCTCGGGGAAGGAAGAGCTCTTTTATACATTGAGTTTGGGGAAGAAAAATGTAAGTTGTTTGGAAGGAATTTACATTGGCCATAGAGAAAGGGGGCAGGAGCAGGTGAAGCCGGGCTAGTTCTGGGACAGGCACGTAGTTCCGCCATCCATCTGTAAGGAGGAGCGTTTGCTCTTTGAATTGGTTGTGGGCAACGGTCCAGACAGTTAATGCGTAAGCAAGACGCTGTGGCATTTGGTGGTCAGTTATTCTCGAGACAATCTCAGAAATAGCCACCTGGAAGTTGGTTCAAAGTTTCTACATACATTCAGGGGCGGAAGGAGTCTTCTGTTGGCTTTGGTCTGCAGTTGCTAACCGAGTAACCTCTCCTGTCTCTTCCTTCCACTTGTAATTTAATTTAGGACATCTCAGAATTTTTTTCTTGTCAATAGAAAGATTAGAAAATGCCGATAAGCAACAGGAAGAAAATAAAAGTCACCACCTAGATTTAACCACTGTTCAAATTTGAGTATGTTTCCCTCCAAACATGTTTTGTTATTTGTTAGCCATTTCTTGGTTATTCAGCGAGCTGGGGTAAAACAAAACAAAACAAACCTCATTTTTTTTCTTATAGTGAACATATTAAGCAGACCATAATATTGGCCGATTCTTTGTGAACTATTTCTTAATTTGGAAATAATTGAAAAGGTATGAGAAACATGAGGCAAAAGTTGAGACAATTCTCATGAACAAATCGTCTAGTTTTCTCTTTGCCTGTTTATTTCTTTCTATTGTGTAAAGATAGGGATGAAAGATGGAAAAAAGGAAGGTAAGAGTTTGGTGGAGAAATAACGTGTAGCATTATAAGAGAACAAAAATTAAATTAAGAGATAGTAATGGGTTTCAGACTGATCTGGGGAGAGAAGGGGCGGTAGAAAACCCTCAGGGGCCAGCCCCTGTGCCCAGTCAGGGAGATTGCCAGGACAGGCATGACAGACGATGCTGAAACTGGTCAAGTTGGCTGTCTGGACTGGAATTTGGTGCTGATGAGATCAAGGGGCTATAATCCATCACTATGTTAAACAGTGGGTGTCCCTAAAAGATTCTGATCTCAGGACAGGGGTGACTGTTGGAAACGATTCCATCACAAATGTGTGCCATTGGGCCCACAGGCACCTCGATGACAGTAGTGATGACTCAACGTAATCTAACATCACTCCGGGGCGGTGGCGGGGGATGTACCCCAAAGCTTGTGTCTCACTGATAATGATCATAGGTTTTATGTGACTGTGCATGATAATCATGGTGGCTTGTTGGTTTCTTTAAATTACAGTTCAAATTGCCTTAGTATTCGGTGCAAAAATATTGGACTATGTCTTCAATTTGTGCGAGGGTAAATTAGACTACCTCGAACGGCTCTCAGACAGTCTGCTGCTGCATATCATTTCCTATCTGGATCTCGAAGACATTGCCAGTCTTTCTCAAACATCACAAAGATTTTCAAAGGTAACAGTCAAGTCAACAGTTTTCCTCATGCGTTCTCAAAGCCGTTTCTTTCTTTTTTTAAAAAAATATAGCAGTGGTTTATTGTTTGCATTTATACCTGCGTTTGTTGAATAGTTACTTTATGACAGGCACATTCCGGGGCACAGAAGCAACAGAGATGGAAAGATATTGTTTTTGATCTCAAGACACTTACAGTTTAATAGGAGAAATCTACACAGATACAAATCATTATAACATGGGGTAGTCACATGGGGAACATGTGTACAGGGTACAAAGCAGGGCAAGATGGTTTCCTCTGCTTGTCTTCGCAGAAGTGGGTTACTGTGTCTGGGTTTTGAGGGGAAAATAGGAGTTTTCCAAGTGGTCTGGAAGACTAGTGGCACTCCTGATCAACGGGCATTCCGAGTCAAGAGCAGGGTCACGGCCGCATGAGAAGATGGCGAGTATTGATTATCCCCCATCCGTTCCCATTTCTTCCAGTAACAGCCCTTTGCTGAATTACTTATTCCCAGTATGGGTGGTTTTGGGGGGCCGTTTATCATAGTCCCTGTCCTCCATCATGCCCCAGGCTGACCAAAGGGACTCACTACTTCGAATCGTCGGCAAAATGACACAAGCACAGAAAACACAGCTGGTGCGGATTTTGCCCACTGTCAAGGCCTCGATGCGACCACTGTCAGTCCCGCTCCCTGAATACTTGAAGGCACCTTTGTTCCTGTCCCTTTTGTCATTTTTCACTTATAAACTATTTTCATTTACTTGTTTTGTCCTGTAATTTATTCAGTTATTTTATTAATGCAAAAAAGCGCTACCATTTCAAACTTCTGGGGGCAAATTTATTAGCAAATCATTTGTCTCCACATCCAACCCCTTCCTCTGGTCTCAGAGGGAAATGTTCCCCTCCGTCAAGGTCAGGGCCACCTGCCACCTGGCTCAGAAGTATAACTCTGGGGACTTTAGTCTTTGACTTATCTCCTTTCCCTTCCATTTTGTTATTTTTAGAACTTCTTACTTGTAAATAATTTTAAATTTCTACAAGTATTGCATAGATGATACAGAGAGTTTGCATATATACCCGTCTCCCAGTGTCCCCTAATGCTAACATCTCATATAATGCGGAACATTTATCAACATTAAGCAGTTAATGTTGGTGCAATACTGTTAACTGAACCACAGACCTTATATGTTTTTGATCGTTTTTTCCGCTAATGTCCGTCTGTCGTCTCAGGGTCTGATCCAGGATACCACGCTGCATTTGGTTCCCACTTTTAAACCTTTCTTTCAGTTGCTTTTTCCTCCTCAGGACATTAAGTTTCTCAAATCAGTCTCATCCTTCAAACACCAAAAACTCTTGACTCTATTCCTATCCAATTTCTTTCTTTCCCTTCTTGGAAAAAAGAAATGGTTTGCACGGCAGTTTACAGTCAGCAAACCGGCATCATGAATCTGAGATTTTATAATCCACAATAAAATGAGAACAGAACGGGTGATATGAAGAGTCTGTCATCAAGCTAAATTTATTCCATCTAAATGACCATCCCATTTTGGGGAGGGTTAAAATGTCCCTTCTTTTATGAAATGATGGTATTAAAACATGATATGTAATTTTAACAAATTATCTTCACCTTGCAAAATTAAAAAATTGGTAACTTTATTTGGGCAACTTTATTTGGCTCTCAGTTTTTCGTTTTTTGTTTGTTTGTTTGTTTGTTTGTTTGTTTGTTTTTTAATTTCACTGCTCTTATGACGCTCCAAATCCGGGAGCCGCTGGTCTCCTGTAGGACTACGCGTTCCCTCCATCCACGCCTCTGAATGTCCCCGGCCCCACTCCCAGTAACCTCTTGGTTGTCCCGTCTAAAGATCCCGCTTTAGGCCTTCCACTTCCGGCCCTGTCTTTGCTTCCGGGGCTCTCTGGGGGGATTTTCCTCCTGGCCTCCTCCTTTGTTGCTCCACTGGCTGCTCTTCCACTCTGGCCGAGGGCGGCCTTTCTAAAATGCGCTCTGGTCATGTCACTGCCCTGCTCGGTGACCCTTAGTGACTTCCCGTCATTTTCAAAATGAGATGCAAAGTCTTCGGTGGCACGTGAGGCCACAGTGCCCTGGCCCTGCCTCCCGCCTGCCCGCAGCTGTCCTGTGTGCCGGGTTCTCTGTGCCCATTAGCCTTCGCTTATGCTGTCCCCTTTTCTAGGAATGTCCTCCCTTCTGACCCACCGCTTTTCTTCCTTCATGTGGGTTTTCTGCCAGCATGTTCCACCTCCCTTGAGTGTGACGCGATGACTTGCCTCCCACCGTGCTCCATAGCTAGGGTTGTGTCACCCAACTTTGTAGAGCTTAGCCCAGAGTTAACTACAAGAAAATGGTGTGACTGGGTGCTCAAACAAGGAGGGGCTATATCAATTTGTTTATATTTTTGATAAAATCGATTTGCGTTAAATAGCCAGGATGGAAATTTTTTTTTAATGTGTATTTCCATATATGTAGTAAAATGTAATTCTCTGTCCCATTCCTGACCCTCATTCTTTAACCCGCCTCTCCAGTGACGGTCATATCACCGTGCTTTGTACGTCCTTCCAGAGATATTCCGTGTGCCTATCAGTGTACGTGTGTGGTCTCTGAGCGCGTATACACGTGCACACGCGCCTTTAAAAGCATATGGTAGCATATTATATATTGTTCTCCATCATTTTTTCCCTTCTTTACAACACATTTTATAGCCTTTTCATGTCAGTACATATAAATCTTCAGTTTAAAAAAGTGTCCTAAGCCATTACTGTATGGACAAATCATACTTTTTAAAACCAGATCCATACTGATAGGCATTTAGGTGGTTTTCCCTCTGCTATTTGTAAATAATGCTCCAAACTTCTTTCTAGACACGTGCATGTTTGTCTGCAGAAAAATACTACGATAAGTGTAATTGTTTAGAAGAATCAAATAAATATATAGAATTACGCAGATACAGGTATCCAGGAACGATAACGTGGGCCCCTGTGAATCGGGAAGAAAAGGAAGTAAGTGTGTATGTGTCCAGGGATTATCGGCCATAACAACATTAATTGAGCACTTATTGTAAACTCGGCAATGCGCTGAGCACTGTAATTACTTTATTTCACTAAATTCTCAAAAAACTCTTGCAGGGTAGATCCTATTTCTTACCTTTATGTTATAGATACAGAGGCTAAGAACTAGCAAGCTTAACTAACCTGCCCAGGGTCCTACAGCCAGTGAGGGGCAGAACTGCCATCCCCTGGGGTTCTGACTGCGAGCCTGTCGGTGGACCCCTCTAAGGGCTGTGTAGTCGCCGAGCCCCTGCCGTGGGCCTGGCACTGTGCTGGCTCTGGGGACTTGACAGTGGGAAGTTGACATGGCCCCTCCTTCCAAGGAGCTCCCACTGGAAGGAGAAAAGCAGTCCAAGCGGTCGTTCAGTGACAGCTGTGGTGGGTGCTCTGGGGACAGGCACGGGTGGCCGTGAGATGTAACTTGACTTGGGGCTTCCTTGAGGAAGGAGCATTGCCTGACAGGTAGCAGTTAGCCAGGCCCGGAGTGGGAAGCAGCGTACTCTAGGCAGAGGAAGCTGCCTGGCGGACGACGCTGAAGAGTGGACAGAAATAACAACCAGCGCCGCTGGAGCGGAGGGTGGAAGGTAAAAAGGCTGGAAACGAAGCCGGAGAGGCTGGTGGGTGGGGCAGATCTGCAGGGCGTGGTCAGGCGCTGTTTTAGTGGGTCCTGTGGAAAGTGAGAGCTGGAGGGTCACCTTTAGGAGACAGAAAGGTTCCCAAGGCCTGACCTGACTGCGCAGTAATGGGTCTGCCCTGGAAGCATAAACACGCGTGGAGACGCAATGTGTGGACTGAAGCGGGGAGTCAGTGGGGGTGGGGTGGCTAGGCCGGGAGACCCCACGGTGCTACCCAACGGTCCGTGGTGGAAGCTTCCACTTATCGACCTTAATGGCACCAGCGATCAGGACTGTCCAGCTGTCTGCCTCTGCTCTCGTGTCTACCAAGCCACAGAGCCTCCACGGATGTGCGCCTGCAGGTCTGGCGGGCTGGCTGCTTATATTTCTCAGGGTAAACCACCAAAAAAGCCGTCCCCAGGGAGCTCGGCTAATGGGAGCACACCGCTGAAAGGTGAATCCGGCGTCACGGTATGCGGGCAGTCAGACCAGGGCCAGCCCTGGGATTGAGGTGAGCCCACTAAGGAAATCCCCCGGGGACCTGCCGCCTTGCCCAGGTGACACCAGGCATTGGCCCTATGCTTTTTCTGCAAACCGCAGCAGAACAGAAACAGCCCGTGCAGCTGGATGAGAAGGCCCAGGCCCAGACGAGGAGGGACCATCATGACAGACACATGAACGTTTTCACCTTGGTAGAGACTCAGGAACACGGAGGGAGAAAATCTCTCCTGTCACATTTTGGCTACGGGGAAATAGGTTTTTCCTCATGTCCCCAAACTCTCTATGACCGTGGTTCCCAAGTCTGGCCAAGTGGATGAAGCACCTAAGGAACAGGTACCAATAGAAATGCCAGGCCCACGCCCTGAGTCTGAGGTCACCCAGCATCTGTGCTCTTAATGTGCTCTCTTGAGTTTAGGGCAACCCAATTCTAAGAGTCTGGCCCAAATTCTAAGGATTTGACCCATTCATATGAAAGTTGTACAGATAAAGAGATTCTAAAAGGCTGGAAGCTTCAGGTGGAGGTGGAGTTCTCATCTTCGCTGGGCGTTTAGATCAGCAAACCAGAGAGCTGGATTCTGTTCTTCGCTGAGCCACTCCCTACCGTGAGCCTTAGGCAGATGCACCCTTATCCTTCCTGAGCCTTAATCTCCCCATTTGTAAAAGGAGAGGTATTAACTCGGTAAGCCCTGGGATCCCTTTCAACTTTTACTGTAGTTTATGTATGTTAAGTTCAAGCACCACCGCCAGGAGGCGCTAAACTCCCACTTTGCTGTGTTTTGGATCAAAATAACTGGAAACATAGTCAGGATGGGTACCTCGTGTTTTGCACCCTAGCATCTACCAAGCAAAAGAGCCCCAGGGTGTGGAGTCTTAGATGGGGGTATTTTGTAGACCAGTTTTAATATAAAACAAAACTAAATATTTTCAGTATAAAATGAGTGATAAATTGAATTTATATTGGTAGAAATTTTAGCTCTCTTGAAAATTCTTTTCCTTTCCTCAAAACCCCATCATTTTCTCCCATAATCTCTGTTATGTAAGATGCACTGATATCCTAAAATGTGTTTACTGGAAATGGGCTAGTCATCTACACTAGTGTTAGAATTCAAATCTTTTAAAGGAGGTTCAGAAGATCTCTCTTTTTAAAATATTAAGACATTTTAAAGGTTTTCCTTTGTTATTTATATTTAGAAAATGTTGCAATCTGGGTATAGGAAGTAAACCTTGAAAAGCTGTCCAGAGTGGGATAAGATAATGAATGACCTGCCTGACATCAAAATCTTTCGGGGCCGTCATTATCGTAAGATTCAGTGTTGCCATTTATCAATAACCGTTGTGTGACTACGAGAGTTTTTGCTCTGATATTTATGCAGAAAGGATCTTACGTGATTATGCTTTATCATACTGTTCATTTCTATTTGTAATTCATTTTTTTCCCTTTATTAGAGTACTTTCAGAGTAGCATTAAGTATGAAAGAGTACTGGCTGCTTTCACCCCAAGAAATGAGTGTAAGAGAGTCACAAAATAGAACGCTTATACGTTTTCTCTTCCCCAGGAAGAAGTTAGGATCCAAGGGCGCAAAGCAGGATGGAGGAAGGGTCCATGAGGATGGGAAGAGCCAGTGGTCAGAGTGAGAGGATGCGTGGGATTGGCTCGCTCAGCCCATTTTTAACTCCCTTTTGCTAGATGGAGTTGCCTCAGTGTACTGTGGTGGCTACAAAGATAAAATCTGCCTTTGCAACTAGTGCATTGGGTGTAGCCTAAGGTCTGTCAAGTAGACCCACCTGCAAGAGTCTTGGAAGGAAGACACAAGCGAGCTGGGGGCCCCCTCCATGTGCACAGAGACCGGCTCATCCTGCAAGCACAGTGCTGGGGGCGTATGGGAAAGGTTCTAGTGTCGATCGCAAACATCACTGCTCCCAAGGTGCTAGGGGTTGGGGAGCAGGAGCAGTGAGATTTCTGCTAGAATAGTCTGGGTGTTTTGTTTTTTAATCTGCTACTGTGGTTTGTGGCTGTATAGCATTGAACCTTGCCCTCCAGTTTTACTAGCTATTCTGATAGCTGTCTGTTGCTTCTGCGACTCCCCTTCTGCTTAAACAACCTAGACATTCTGTAGTTTGAGACCCAGAGCCCTGCCCAACATGATAGGCCTCCATTCAGGCTGGATGGGTAGGTAGATGAACGGGCTATTGAAAACTATGGAGCAGCTAACCTGGCCTGGAGTAACGAGTTTAGTTTCATTTTCCTTTTCATCTCTTCCCTTAATGTGAGTTTCTCACCTGTTGTTTTTCTCTGCTTTTACTGTTTGGCCTCTAATGGCATCAACCACCCGTCTGATTTGCTGTGGCCAAACTGCTAAGGGCTAAAAGCTGGACACTAAACTAAAATGAATTCTAAGGAAAAGAGGAATGACTAGGCCACGAGTGAAGGCCTCTTCCACATGATAAAGCGCATGGATTTTAGCACTTTGGTTCCTGACAGCTGTTTTAGCTGTGCGGGTGCCTTTTTCCTCTTTGACATTATGTGGCTGTGTGTTTAGAGGTTCCGGTCCCCCGCAGCCTGATGCCTTTCTAAATAGAGCACAGTTGGAGTCAGTCTTCCAGAATCTGAGGAATTTTTGCCATGCCTGTCTGCTTCTCCTCTTTAAGTGGTAAAATTGCTCTCTAAAAAGAAATTTTAAATAGTGAAAATTATGAGTTCAACCTAATTTTCAACATATCAGTCAGGTCTACACTGATCATTTTCCACAGCTAATCCTGTTTCCCACCGTCATCGACCTTTGCGGGGCCCATCCGCCTCTTGCCTTTCTTTGCCTCCTTGTAAGATGTTTCTGCAGCAGTTCCTACAAATGAGTCTGAGGGTTGTGGGTACTGAGGCGGGGCTCAGCCCAGGGTGCTCTGGCACCGTTGGTTTAAAGAAATGGTGGCTCCATATTGGTCCCTCGCTGTGCCTGATCCTTCCCACTTCTGGATTTTCACACGAGCCACCCAGGGCATGGAACTGATGAAAGGGGAAATCAGATTAGTGATGAACCTCCTGAGCACACTGTTGGCGCAGGAAGGATGGAGCCGGGAACGGTCTGTCACTGAGGCCCGCACGGAACCCTTCTTAAGGCACATTTTGTACTGCTACTGTGCAACATCAAATACCCAAGCACCCTTAAATGTTCTTGTTCTTGCATATACCAAAAAACCATGACTGTCACCAAGATCGAGGTACTGAGTAAGTGTAACGGAAGCTTTACCTTCAGGAAGGATTTGGGGCCTGGTAGGTAAGGGGTCTGGAAGTCTCTGTATTAATAGTGTTTAGTAGCGGGGGACTGATGACAGTAGTCGCTTTAGTAATGGTGCCACCTGAGAAAGTCATTTTAGGAAATCTTGGATAAATAAGTGGAAGCTGAATTGTGGCAGCTTTGAACTTGGAGGACCAAATAGCCTTGTGTAGATATTGGGCCAGAAAGGTCTTTTCAGTCCTTAACCTGATGGCCTTCGGTTAAATCCCCAGGCTGCAGAGAAATATCTCAGAGAACAGCTCACTTTGCCCTGTGCCAGGTGGGCTCAGGAAGTAGACTGCATCTTGTAGGCCACTCTGGTGCATGGTGTGATGTCACGTGTGCAAAGGACTCAGAGCTAAACTTGTGGCACCAGGTGGATTTTTGATATGCTGGTTGGTAGGCCGCTTGGTCCTTCTGATGCATTTCAACACTGAGTAGCCCACAGTGGACTAAGCCATCAGCTCTACAAGCCCATAGGAGGGATGCCTTGAGCAAGGGTTTAGAATGGATGCAAATTTAGCAGGAATTAGCAACACTCCCACTTGAAAAGTTAATGCAGCACTCGGTATAAGGTTGTGTGACACACCATTATCAGCCTCTGTTATATGGCTAATTGGAAATTAACTCTATAATGGTGTATAAGTCCTACATATAACTGTCTTGCATTTTGCATCTTAAATGAGATCAGAATTTATTCCATCAATCAAATATTGCCATCTATCTATCCATCCATCTATTTATGGTGCACTTGCCTCTTTCCTCAAAGAGAAAGTTTCCGGAGGGGAAACAGTGTCTGCTACATCCTTGGGCTCATGCAGTGTTTCTCACAGTGTCTCACAGGCAGCATGAGCCGGACAGTGATTTCATGAGTGAGTGAACCCACGTGTGACGTAACCTACTTCTTACTTTTTCCACCCATAGCTGTGCATCTCTGACAAACTGTGGGAGCCGATAGTTCAGTCTGCCTGTGACGACATCACCCCTGAGATGAGGGCCCTGGCCAAGGATGTGGGCTGGAGACAGCTGTTCTTCGCCAACAAGCTGCAGCTCCAGCAGAAATTCCGCAAGAGGGGAAGACATGGACACCAGAGAGGCAGTCAGGCTTAGGGACACGTTTTCCTACCTGCAGGGGTATTGAGGCATGGCTATGTTTCTCCTCTGTGTCCAAATCTCTTCTCTTTCCTTCGATTAAGAACTAAGGGGCTTTGCTGATTCCAGGAGCCCTCTGAAAAGCATAGAGTCTGCACACAAATGCAGTAAATTCAACTGGGCAGTGCTTTGCTTGAGCCATAGTCCCGTTGTGGTGAAGGTCAAATCGTGGCCCCAGCACGAGGGCTGCAGGACAAGAAGCCCCGCAGTAGTGTCTTCCCCACCCCCTCCCGACACCCATAAGAAAGGAGGCTTCTGCCATGTAGAAACAAACAATAAATGATTATTAGCGGGTTTTTATTACATATCTATTTTATCGAGGCATTGAGAAAAGAAACTCAGCTTTTGAATGTTTTCCCGTTGTGTCATCTGAGTCCATCCGTGGAGCAGGTGGCCACGTGTTCCCACAAGGAACTGTGGGGCAGTGGCAGCGGGAGGCACTCCTGGTGAGTGCAGCCACCTTCTCAGCCGTCCTGCGGGCTCGGGTACCAGGCTCCGCCCTCTCGTGTCATCGTGTCCTCATGTCCTCTTCCAGCGACAGCCTCCACCGGGGTCCTGGGGCATGGCGGGAGAGCAGGCCAGGCGTTCTGCTTGCAGACCTCGTCCTGAGTCCAACCTCCCCGGACTTCGCATTGTCAAACAAACCTACAGATATTTCTCAAAAGGATGCTGCTTCCCCCAAGGCGACGTGGACAGTTACCGCTTCTATAACAGGGATGTTTAAGAGCCCAGGCTGTGGGTTAACTGAGTGAAAGCCTAAGTACGCTTTGTATTCTGTTAACTCAGCAAAGGGGCGAAAACAGTACAGTTCCACCTCCCTGAGGAGGGCTATTTAAAAATTATTTTCTTCCTGCGTGCTCATGATGATTACTTACCCCAGACAATGGACTCGTAGCAGCGAATAATCTAATGACTCCTTTTAGGCTGCAGAGCAAAGTAGCTTCCACCTTGTTAACCTTCTCATTTCTTCCCTGCAGCTTCCACTTTGCTACCTAGAAAAAAATAACATGCCCCTCCCCCGCCCTTCCAGAGCGAGAGGAACTCCCATGATGCAGCGGGACCTCCCAAATGGTGCAAAAGTGGACTCTGGCTGTCCTCCCCACCCAAGTTCTTCTGGAAGGGTTCCATGGCCATGGCTTAGTGATGGATGCTTTTTCCTTTTTTTTTTTTTTTTTTTTTACTAGATCTGTGTTATATCAAACCAGATTTTAAACCCTATCTACACAGTCCTACTCAGTCATCGATTTCCAGGGACATCTGTGAAATCGAACGCAGCCGGCTTCCCTGCAGATGAGCAGAGGGGTCAAAGTCGTGTCTGGATTTAGTCCAAGCTCAGAGCAAAGATTTTATTGGCCAGAGGCCCAGGCCGCATTCCCTGCCCGGGGGAGACACTAACCGGGCGGCGCAGGGCGACCCGCAGCGGGCGGAGGGCACGTGCTCCTGCGTGGCTGCCGCCGCCTTGCTTCTGCCTGAACTTTCGGATTTCAGTCCCGGCCCGGTCTGTGGTGACAGAACACAGGTTAATACCGTGTGCACGCAACAATTGTGTGTATGCACAATTTGGTATATCTGCCTAACCGCATAAACGTAAAATTTCAACTCATTTGTAACATCGATACAAAGTGTCAACAGCCGAAAATTTTCTCATGTGGTGCTTAATCAGCTAACAGATTCTGAAAGCTTGCGGGCATGCATGATCTTCCAGATTCAACAGGAATTAGTAAGAACACAAATATGGCCATTTGAAAACTCTTACTAGCTATAAAAAAATATAATATAAAAATAGATGCTAAAAGTAAATTACAATTAAAAATGAGTTATAAATGTTTATTGTTAAGTTAAAATAACATAGGTTATTAGATTCTTTTCATAATTATTTGTCCTAATAATTTGAGTGCCTTATTACCTGATCATAATTAGTTTTGCCAAAATGTGAACATCATCAGCCTAAAATCCTTCATGGCACCAGCATCCTGAGTGGTCCAAACACTTTGCCTGTCTCTTCCCTGCCTCACTTCCTGTATTAGATCCCACATGACGATCCCCCAGATGGGAATAAAGCGATGGTTTGCCTCTGTGCCTTTATTGACGGCTTCCACGTGGATGGATAAATCTGCTTTGTTTATGACATACCATTTTGGAGTGAAATGCCACAGCGTTTTATCTCGCCCTTTCTCATCTTTTCAGTCAAAAGTGTGTCTACTCTTGTTATCATTCACCTTGTAATGGTAAAGTACTGATATTTTCTGATGATTTGTATGTTTTCAAGTTAAAACAATTTATTAACGATAGGAAATGTGAATATTTAATTTATAAACTAAACAAATAAATATATTTTACCTAATGTCAACTTCTATTACTTTTTTCCTGAACAGGTTTGGCATAGCACGAGCATTAAACCTCGGTTATTTGGAACAGAAAATGTTTTATTTTACTGAGTAGGCCCAAGAATAGGCTGAGATTATCATTGGAGGAGAGGCAGGAAGCAGGAGCAGGGACAAACCACTAGTCACCACTTGTCATCATTTTCCAAGCTGCTTGTGTACAAGATGGTCCTCAGCTCTCATTTATTACCCCAAACCGATTCTCACGATGCTGGAGAACCACGTAAAACCACCTTACTAAAAGCATAAAACATTCGTGCGGTGTAATTTTGTGATCTGAGCATCAGTATAATGACCTTTAACTTCAGTTTGTGTTAAGATAACATAGTGTGAGGGAGTGTCCAGGCTTTTCAACTCTGAAGAGTTGTTTTCAACTTGAAATGGATGTCTCCGGTTGTATGTTAAAACGTTAAGTAGACAAGCTACCACCGCCCTAAGGAAAAATGGGCACCAGCGGTTAAAAGCACACATTACATATTAGGTCACTTTACAAAGTAAAATTAATATCTTAGTTTTACCTATTGATTGCTTTGAGATGAGCTCATCAACATGCTGGGGGAGCATTAGTTTGCCCTCGTGACGTGGAACCCTCAGGATTGGGGCCGCAGAGGGCTCCCTGTTTCCTGCTTATCACGCTTCCTCAAATATAGCTCTCCATTCAGAAAAGTCATTTTCAACTGGGCAATGTGTTCTGCTCATCCTGGAAGTCTCAGAGCCATAGATCCATGGTCACAGACGAAGTTGGAATATCCTTAGAAATAATAATAGCAGCTTCCATTTATTGTCTTCTGTGTATCAAGAAATAAACAGGTGGTAACCAATTTTTTTTTTTTTTTTTTTTTGGCGAGGCAACCTTTGGTTGACCTCATTGATTGCAAGGACCTTGTCAGCTTACCATCCCTTATTTTTTTTTATTTTTTACGCCTATAGGACCTGGTCTTTCTAGGTGGTCTCCCATCCAAATACTCACCAGGCTCAACCCTACCTAGCTTCCGAGATCAGACGGGATCAGGCTTGTTCAGGGTGGCATGGCCATAGACGCAATTAAATTCTTAAAGCAACACTTGAAGAGATGTGATATTATTGCTGTCTTATAGATCAAAGGTTTATCAACTATGGCTTGGTCTAATCTAACCAGCTGCCTGTGTCTGTATATCAAGTTTATTGGGGCCACAGTCTATGTATTATCTGTGGCTACTTTCATGCAATGACAGAGTGAGATAGTCATGATATAAACTACATAGCTGGCAAGGCCTAAATTATTCTCAGAGGGGACTACTTAATTTTCCCAAGATCTCATAACTAACAAGCAGTAAAGCTGAGATTGAAATCTACAGCTGTTAAGTCTACACTCTTAACCGAAACGCCACACCCACTGTCCTTTCAGACCCAACACATTTGACCACCTGAACTTGAAAAGGTGATGGGATTTGTGTAAGGTCACATTTGAAATTATAAGGGGGACAATCTTGGGCATGATATAAGAGACCGTTCTAATTTAGTCGTCCAGAGAATAGTCCAAGCTTTTGATGACCTAAATTATTACACATTTTTCTATAAAGTATCTTATGTTCATTTAAATAATAAGTAAGGAGTTGCTTCTTCAAGACCCTCACACGCTCTTAGGGAAAACTAAGGAGTGAGTATAGGAGTTGCATACAGCTCCCTGGTACTTTGCCAAACTCAGTCCTTTCTTCCTGCCATTTTCCTCCATTGGGAACCAGTGGAACTCTTACCTCTTCCTACTTCACCTGACAATGGAAGAGGCTTCCATTGACATGAGACCCTCAACTCAAACCCCTGCTTTTCATCGTTGGTGGTGAAATGCCTTTAATACATTGCCTGTGATCTCTGCCCTCAGCCATGACTCCGTTTCCCGTTCCCAAGATGACAGACGCTGCTGCTTCTCAGTCTTTTCCATTCGACATGGGTATTTCTCCCCCTGCCCCACTGTTCTATAAACCTTTGACTTTGCAGACCTCCAGTTCACATAAGCCATGCTCCATTCATTACTACATTTAAAGATGGCTCATTCATTAGTTTTCAAAAGGGAGCTTAGAAATCTCGCTTTCTTAGCCCACAGCTGCACCATCTAAGACTAAAGATGCTGAAAAGGTGGCATTGAAATCTACTAAAAAAAGCGTAAATCTGAAACAAAATATGACTCAAAAGGTATCTTTCCCTCGACTTTATGATGTTAAAATGTTACCTTTCTGGTACCTCTTAAGTTGCGGCATCATTTTGAGAATAATCATTCAGCATTTAAAGCAAAAGGAATTGAATATTTTAAATGTAGATGTGATGAGTTCATTAAAAGCCAAAAATTGATCATTACAGCAATGCGAAAGCCAGTGGAGCACTCTGCAGGGTAAGTGGCTGCCCTGAATTGCCTGGACAAAGGCACATAAGCCTGTACAGCTGACGTCGCTGAATGTCTGCTGGATGACGAGTCAGCAGAAGAAATCACAGCACTACCACGTTCTAATAACACGGTAGCTCGTCAAATTAAAGATTTAGCTGCAGACACGAAGGCTGAGTTAATACCTTGTCTACAGATCCGTCCTTTTGTCTTACAAATGGGCGAATCAATAGATGTGACTGGACTCGCCGTTTCGTTTATATTCATCCAGTATCACACCAACGAGTCGAAGATCTTTCACGTGAATGCTTGGAAGCAAACACTAGTGATGTCGAAACAGTCCAAATGTCAAAGGATGTTAGTCACTCTCACGGTTGATTCTGGAGCGACTGTGTTGATGTTGGCGCCGATGGTGCGAAAGCAATGGTGGTCAGACGGCCCGCGCCTCCGTGTGAGTCAAAGCAGTGACACCGCACGGTACTGGAAGTCGCTGTGTTTCTTCCCTTCCACGCACTTGCAGTCAGATAACGGCCAGACTCGTTTCAGGATGTCCTTGAGGAAACAGTGAAAACCATCACCTTTTATTGCCTTTACCCTTGAGTCCACATCGTTTTAACGTTCTGTGTGACGAAATGTCGCAGAGCACATCTGCCTCAAATCCAAGTCCAGAGGTCACTTTGAGGAGCAGCACCCGTGTAACTGAACTGCTGCTTTTTTCATGGACTCTCACATTTGTTTTTGTTTGGCAGACACATGACTGAAAAGAAGGCTGTCGCTTCAAGGAATATAACTACAGTATCTGTTGCCAATGACAATGTTTAAGCTTTCAGAAGGAAATTAGAATTATGTAAAAACTTATATCAACCTCCATGAGCTTGTCCACTTCCCGACTGAGATATAATTCACAAACCATAAAATTCATTTTTTAGAAGTAGATAGTTCAGTGGTTTTTATATATTCACAAATTTGGGCAACCATCACCATTATCAAGTTCTAGAACATTCCATCACTCTGTGCCCATTAGCAGTCACTCCCCATTCCCTGCTCCTCCCAGACTCTGGAAACCACTAATATACTTTCTATTGCTATGGATTTGCCTATTCTGGACATTTTATATAAGTGGAATCATACAATAATCACGTGGCATCTTAAAATACTGTTATAAAATATGAAAACATTGGGAAGATCTACAAAATTCAATGGACCAATATTTTCCAATTGACTAAAATATTGTGTTACAAAATCATAAAGGGACAAAAAATTCTTTCAAAGTGTAAGACAGGTCAACGGTTCTTAAGGTATCATTTTACAAAAAGTTTATTGATGTGTGTCAGATTCCACACTGCAACTAACCTTTTAAGACTCAACACTTGTTGAGTTTTGGTGAGGTATTGAAAAAGTCTACAATTACCTGAAAAGACTTAAAATACTCCTCCCCTTTCCAACTACATATAGGTATGAAGCTCAATTTTCAATTTTCTTAATATATGTTAATCAAAACCACATATCACAACAGATTGAAAGTAGAAGCAAATATGAGAGTCTAGTTGTCTCCAATTAAGCTAGGTATTGAAGAGATTTGCAAAAATGTAAAACAATGCCACTCTTCTTACTAAAAAAATTTGAGGGGTCAAAATATGGTTACTTTTATGAAAATGTGTTATTAACATAGTGGGCTCATTATTGTTATTTTAAAATGAATTAATTTCTCAGTTTTGCTTTCTAATATGATAAATATCAATAAGATAAAGCCTACAAAAACAAAACATCTTTGTGTCTTCATTGGTTTTTAGGAGTATACAGGGGACCGAAGAACTAAGTTTGTGAACTGTAAGTCGAGCACTTGTAGACTGTATCTTTCATTTGACAAGGAGACATACCTATGAGAGTTCTTCAATCATTTTACTGAACCTCTCTGTATCTTTTATATTATCAATTATGGTTTCATCTAAACAGGTCACGCACCCAATTTCCCTTAGCTTTGTTATCTCATTGTCATGCTTAGTGCTGTGCAACACTGGCTTACTTCTGCATCCAGGCTACCTGAGGGCAGGCACAGGCATCAGCCTGCCTTGTTCTTATAGAAGCCCAGTTTTCATTCGTTGATTGGAAAAGGACCATGGGAACAGAAAGACTTAACAGCAGAAAAATATATTATATACTATGAGTGCTCCAAAGATAGTAATTGACCAGGATGTTGTATAAAAGGAAATAATCAATGCAAGAGAGTCGGGACAAGTATTTGAAATAGATGAGACTGTTATACTCTTAGAAATGTTGAGAGTGGGTCTCCAATTTCATGGTGCATGAGAATCAACTGATAAGCTTATCTAAAAGACAGGTTTATTGGCTTCATCCCCCAAGATTCCAATTCATTAGGTTTTAAGTAGCCCCAAGAATCTGCATTTAAAATAATTTTGGATACAAGTTTTAAACTGAAAAAGCATTATATGCATACGGAAAAGTCACAGTCACCCCAGTCTCCAAACTTTTCTCCCCAAAGCCTATCACTGTTAATGTTCTCTTGTTTTCTTCCAGAAATATTGTCCATATACAAGCCATTCGAATAAACTTTTGTTAACAAAACATAATTGGGACCAC